ATTGAGTTATTAATAGTTAATTTTCGGTGTTAATTTGTTTTATAAAAAGTGCAAGTTGAAGATTGAAATTTTTTGTGAGTAGTCAATGTGTATATAAAGTGCGAATCATCAAATACATAATTGTATTGCTAAAATAACCCAGATTAATTTCTGTCAGAATAACGATGCATATGAAATAAACAGGTTGGAAAGAGAAAGAGTCCGATTACTTGTGAATGAACATTTGCCATGTGGTAGCTAGTTGAATACCGTTTCTATTCAGGCTGTTCTTATTCGTTTTTGATTGAGATCATGAATCGATTGACTTCAGACCACAATTAAAAAGCTGGGAGCACTGGATGGCCATTTTATCCTAGTATGAGTACTCTCAGCAGTGCGCATCCCCGATCCCACCCGCGGGACTCGAACGCAGGTCTTTCGGTCTAGCGCACGAACGCTTAACCTCTAGACCACTGAGCAGGTATCCAGCGGTGTTATTGTCTAACTTCAACTAATCTACGTAATCGCGCCACCATCTGCCATTCTACTGAGGCAGATACCTGTTTCAATCTGACTTGGAATAGCTCTACTGGTCACGACTACTCACTAGAACTCTTATTAACTCTTATTAACCCGGCGCTTCTCAGTCAGTCAGTCAGTAACAACGTAGAACTTCGTACGTACGTACATCAGTTCGAGTTGCCACACCACATTAGCACAGAGATGCACTTGTCGATTCAAATCCCGTAGTGGTAGAGGTAATAAGAGTATAAGCAGTAATCGGGAAGATTAGGGTTTGGAGATGTTATTTAAAGAGTATAATCCAGTGAAAGAAATTTGGAAAGAGGAAAAAAGGGACATGAAGAATTCAGAAGATTAGAATTTGGGAGAACACAGAGAGTGGATGCACCTGCACCATTGCAAACGATTTTGAGCCATGTCATTCAGGGTCTCTAACCATCGGTTGCTGTCATCTCGCGGTCCCCAACCAGGTAGTCTACACCTACCAACATGACTCAGTTCACTTGTCAGTGACTTCATGGACTTGTGCCATGTTTTGGTTTGGCCGCCCCTAGCTTTCTTCCAACCTACTCCTATATCACTGAACATAGCACGTCAAGGCAGTCGGTCGTTGGGCATACGTAACACGTGTCCCAGCCATCTCAACTGATGAAGTTTCACTACTTCATCAATTGATTTGCCATCCTTACCTAGTACCCGTTTCCTAACAACTGTGTTACTTACTCGATGGTCCCAGGATATACGAGCAATATTTCGAAGACACCTATGATCAAATACTAGTAACCTACGGATATCCTCTACTCTTACCGGCCATGTTTCACTGCCATAAAGTAGGACGGAACGAACTGCTGTGCAGTAAACGCGTCCTTTGGTTGATAGACGGATATCTCGCCTACGCCATAAATGACGCAAGTTGGCAAAAGCTAGTCGAGCCTTCTGTATCCGTGCTGAGATTTCGTCACACACCAAACCACAAGGGCTGATGAGACTTCCAAGATAAGTGAAGCGGTCGACACACTCAACTACTTCACTCCCTATCACTAGTTCGGGTGTCGATGTAACCCAATCCTGAAGCAACATTTTGCATTTCGAGGGAGAGAATCGCATCCCGAACATGCTTGCATTGTTGCTTAGAGTGGTCAGAAGACTCTGCATTTTGTCAGCGTCTTCACCAAATAAAACTATGTCATCTGCATATTCTAAGTCAACAAGTGAACCTCCTGGTAGAAGTTCAACCCCTGTAAATTTAGATGAGGAGAGTGTTATCTCTAAAAGTACGTCAATGACAAAGTTGAACAAGAATGGGGAGAGTGGACAGCCCCGACGAACACCACTTGAGGTGATCAATTCTGATGACAGTTCGCCATAAACTCTCACTCTACCAGTTGTGTTCGAGTAGAGAGCCTTTATAAGGTTAATGTACTTCTTTGGTTCTCCTTTCAGTGACAAACACTGCCATAGAACCTCACGATCAACGGAGTCGAATGCCGCCTTAAGGTCGAGAAATACTACGATTGTGGGGCGTCTGAATGTGTGTCTGTGTTCTAGAACCTGACGTAGTGTGAATATCTGGTCTATACAATCACGTCCAGGTCGAAAACCAGCCTGATTTTCTCTAGTCTGCTCTTCACGAGCTTTAGTTAGGCGTCGAAGTATTATTGAAGCTAATATTTTAGACACTATATTAGTCAAACTGATTCCTCTGTGATTGTCACAAGAGGACTTTTGTCCTTTCTTATAGACTGGCACAATCAGTGATTGAGACCAGTCAGATGGGATTACGTCCAGTTCCCAAATTCTACCTAAGACCTCAGTTAATCTCATTGCTAATACTGGACCACCATCCTTAAAAATCTCAGGAGTAAACCTGTCAGGGCGCTTCTGCTATCAATCTTTATTTTATGTGCCAAAACCTGAAACTTAAACATACACAAACAAACAATTTATTCAGTTATCTTCAGATTGTGGACTTTTCACATAATCCGCATATAACTGACTCATGTTATCCTACTTACTAAAATCAACATCTAAATATGATTGGATAAACACAATGAAGTTTTGATTTGACTGTTAAACATTATATATTCTTTGAAACTTTTGATTTTGATTATTACCCAGAAGAGGTTCAGACAAGTTTACTGGATGTAACGTTGGAATTATTTAAGTTTCAATCGCCAAGATTATTATTATTAATGGATTTATTCAATATTTTATTTTGGTACAATATAGAATTCACAGCACAAGTTTCTTTTACAAAACGAAAAAGGAAAAGGTGAAAAATTACGTGAATCTATACAACTTTTCAACTAGAGACATGAATAAGAATACAGGTTATTGATTAGGTCATCTCCAACAGCCTGTTCGTCACAGAGTATATTTGCTAGGTAAGGTATTACGGATCTTTTATACCTTTGCTTGCGTGCTATGATTTTGATACATTTACGTCCCGTCCTATCAGAAGATATACAAATGATGTCTTCTATATACCCGGTGCCCAACTTCTGTCAAGGTATTCGCTCTAATATTGACGAATATTCCTATAAATATACCCTGATAATTTGTATTCTGATCGTCTAAGTGTGATATGTCCCATTGTTGCTGGCATCCATATCTGCTTTAGTCGTTGAATCGTTATCTAACCAAAAGTCTAATAGTTTTGTGTAAACACCATACATACATTTCAGTAATCGTAAAACTACATCATGAGGCAAACCTGAACTGCGAATTCTGAAGATTCAGGGAGAAGAGGCAAACCAAATAACATATTGCACAAAGAATTGGATGCAGACAACGAAAGAATAATTAACACTTGGAAACAACTGGACAGTAGATCCAGAACTGTGATTGGCAGCCTATGATTTACGAGGGGTCACAGGTGTGAATAAGTAGGCAAGTATATTTATCTTCACTCTTGAATTTGTAATAGTACGAATTCATCAAACAGATTCTATAAGCGATAGTTAACACTGACATTTGAGTCAGGATTTAATGAGCCTATTTCTGTTAGAGGTGAAATGTCTAACTAATATTCATACGAGTTTGATTTGTGATTGGTCTTGTATGCTTACACCTTCTCTGTATTTGGACAATCTTGATGTAGTGTATTTACTTTCTCGTTGTGAGTCCAACCATATACATGACTGTATAAGTATTGAACTCAACAGTTTCCCTGTAGTTCCGAAAATGGGATTTTGATCCTGACAGTGATAAATGTGGATAGATTCGCCTCATCAATCATCCACTTTATTTTGACTTTACAATAAATAGTGAGGCGTTATCTAGGTTTCATGCAGTTGTGAATTTAAGACCCAAGTATTTCCACAATTTGTTCTTTTCAGGATAGGTCTGAACATCGACTTCTGAATCTAAATGATTTCTGTATTTCATACAACGTAACTTCTATAAATATGATTCACCTTTTAATCCACGAATTATGTACCCGACCACGCCTAGAATGATGCCCTTTTATTCTGAATGGCGTCAACACTAATCATAAACATAGATTGAAATAAATCCTTCTGTGATTAACACTATGCATACCTAGGGATGGTTCTACTATAAACTACAAATTCAGTATACTTGAACCCAACCCTTTATGAAAGTGGAGAGTCCAACTAAACATAATTTTCGTCTTCACAATACTAAATAAACCGTCGTTTGCATACATTGGTGCTATCAAGTAAGTAGATCTCCTTAATTTTATCATGCATAACTTTACCAAAAATAAAACCGTCTCATCCTTACTCTTACTTCTTATGAATTACTTGTAAGTTTTCGAAACTTGAATAATTTGTTAATCTGTGAATGAAGTTAAATCGATACCACTATTTTCTGATTTATTATTACCTGTAGCTCGATCCTCCCTTTAAAAATAATCAAACTTGTAACTACTTTTTGTTTCACCGATGAAATTTTAAGAACATACAGTGCTTAGTCATTATTTCTACTTAACATGTTTACTAAACCTCTCTCCTTATAGATATTCTACAGTTGCATTGTCAACAGTTGACTTGATTAATCTGAATAATATCCATTTAAACCAGTAGGTCATAAGACAACAACAACACATGCGCAACGACAGGTCTATCACACTAATTCTTTTTATTGTTGTTCTATGTTCGTTGTTTCCTTTTTTTCTTCTCTAGTTGTGAATGATTACGAATAATCTGTAATGTCACTAGAATCGCCCCACGATACACTATTTATACTTCAGTAGGATATCGCAATCCTCCTATCGAAAATTAATGGTTCCCAACTGCTACCTCAAATTATTATAATCCTTGTAACAAAAATGTTCTATCAAGATAATTCATAAGTAGCGTCTTATGAAAAAATTCAACACTAAACATCTGGTCCTCACATACACCTTTTCTTCTTACACCAACTTCACAATGTGTATATATTGACACATACTCCTTAATTATTTCCACGATACAATTTGTTTATTTATTTCTCTTTTTATTGCATACAACCATTTATTTTCGCCAATGAGCTCATCTCTATGCTCCCACAGCATCAGCCAATCCAATTCTTCTCTGACCGAAATCGAATACAGTATAGAATTTTCCCAGAAAAACGTCACCAAGAACCCAATAGTTAGAAGGTAACGAAAGACGAGATTGAAAAGGTGACAAACAAATTGTTTTAAAGAATTCGGTCTCCTGTAATTGAACAAAAAATACATTAGTATGGAAGCAAATTGTTTCCATCTTGTTCGTTTGAATAGTGACCGTCTGAAAGATTGTTCAAAGATTAGCAATCATTTCCTTTATCTGGTTATTTGTTGATTACAAATTGTAATATACATCACTCAATAAGAAACTAATGATTCATGTTTTCTCTGAGATCGCCTTTCTTCACATTACTTCACATGGATTATGTTGACATCAGTTTAAACTTAGAATTTAATAAGCTTTAATGTTTTAAATGATTGTATTAAGTTAGTAATGCACACAGTGGATCGTTTTTCATCATATATACTTTATTTAAAACAGTTATTTGTAACAAAATCTTCCTCACTCTCAGCTTACTAAACATTAAAAATGATGTGGTCCATTTAGCTCATTCTTTACTCCTAAATTTTCTTAATACTAATATTTTATACAATGCACAGAAAATTCTATGTTTTAATTTTCTGTTCACAGTAAACGATGATGAGCTTAATTCACTAATGGTTTAAGTACTATTGTGGTGTGTGCTACTGATGTAGATAGATATAAGTAGTATGTGTCATCAATCGAAAGTGAAATACCTGGCAGCAGAATGTTAGGAAAATTGGAGAAAGAAGAATGAGAACAAAGAATGATTGGTGTGGAAACGAAAGAACAATAAAGTCTGAGACGATTGACTGATATTTTGCAAATGAAGTATTTACAGTATGGTTCTTAGATTTTACTAACATGTTCTGTAATTTTATGTTCTGATACATTCGATTATCCCCACTTGTGTTCTTTTTGACTAAACTACTATTAAATTTGTATTAACATTTTCTTATTCCCATATAGCTGTATTTTTAAGAAATTACCTCTACATGTGTCCTAAAAAAGAAATATTATGATAGTGTTATTCGTCCATCTAAGTTAGCCAGCTAACAAACGGACGTGGAAATTTACTGTGGTATAAATATGTCAATCGCTAACTCTACAGTTTAGTGTAGATTGCGTGGTTTCGGTTATGAAATACACCAATAATTTTATATAAAGGTTTCATATGAATTAAATTGACCTGTTCATTGAGATGTACCTTTTCAAAACAATCTTACCTATTACAACTTCAAACTGACTGGAACTTCATAATTTTAACAAACAATTCTGTATCAGACATGTCTATCTCATAACTGGTACAGTGACTAGCATTGTTTAAGACAAAATGGATTACTTGTATGCACCTTGACTACATAGTGTTGTGGCTTCAGAATGTACTTTTTCCTATGAAATATGAATTCAATCGAAGGAAGCATATCGATTCGACCACAGTCAATGAATTTTCTTCCAAAAATGTCAAAAACATGAAGTAAAGAATTGATTCTTTTCACTTGTTCATTTGGTCCAATAATTAAAGATGTCCCAGTATCAATAACAGCAGAACATATGTTGCAAAAGTTTATCCCATTTATTTGCAAACTAAGTGTATATAGAAAACATTTTATTACAAAATATTTATAAAAACTCTTTTACCCATCTGTGAGTTAATTCACAATAAGTGTGGGTCTTTCTCAATAGCACACTTTGTTAAACAAATTAGACTAGGTTACTAATATTTTCTTATCAATAAGGTTTATTTAAATTAACTAGTAAATAATCTTAAAGTTGTTGAAACGTCTCATTACGAATATTTTCCGATAAAGATGTAAGAATGTAATATAATAACTGTTCTTGAAATATTTCATTCAGCAATTACCTATCTCGGATTACAGTGACATTTGTAAGAAAAGTATGTGAAATATTGAACTTGAAGAAGTGATAAACAGGATGGGATAAACTATTGTGATTTTATTTGGAAATTCGTTATAACTCGTTGCCTTGTGTCCTATTAATATATGACGGAATGATACCACCAATTAGAGAACAGTGATTTATCGACCGAACCAATGACACGTAAACCCGTACAAACAGTCTAGACTCCTTATCTGTCCCTCTTCCTGCCTAGCCCTACCTGTTGAGTCCAGAACACCAATCTCAGCCTCTACGATATGAATCATGTATTTTAAACACATTGGGTTTATATGCAAACCAAACGCACCACAAAATAGAAAATAACATTTGTACAAGATCTATCCAAAAGTGGCTGTGAATAAGGAAGACTGTAATTAATAGACTGGACATAAAACAAGAGAATGAATGTACACAGTTCAGCTACTTAACAATTATACAATAAAAGTATATGTATATTATTGGCCCATAAATAGATCCGAACAGTTACCACTTAATATTACCGTCGAGATATAGCAAAAGTATTGTTCAACATTACTCGAATACATTTTAAACCGTCATTCGAACAGTAACTAACATTGGACATTCACTTCAACCTGACCGGAAACTATTATTTAGATGCGTCTCACTGTTGGTACAAACACACTAACTGAGATTCACATTTCAAACACATAATGCAATCCAAGTGACTTATTTATTTTAATCACTGTTTATTTCCCATCCCCGAAATAGTGAAATACTTGTTGAGCCTAGTTTATGCATTATGTTCCATTACACTCATTCAATGCAAAAGTCATTTGAATTCCATTCTACACTCATCTATCTATAACCGATACTTAATAATCATATTCAAATTACAGTACCTTCAGGATGATAGTGTAGTGAACAAGAATATTATGGTTACAGTTTGAACTTAATGGCAGTTTGAGCAAAACTGAATATTTTCACACATTACATTGTTTGTTAATGTTATCAAAAGAGATTTCCTTCGTATGAATTCTAGTGAAATTAGTAACTGATCAACATTCTTAAGTATTTCAAAGTAGGAATGAGTGCTTCCGATGAACACTTAATTGGTATGATTGAAAAGACGTACGTTGATAAAAAGTAGTCCTCTTGAAAGTACTACTCCTTATGACTGATGCACTTATTGGATATTTTTCCAATCCCAATCTGACAAAGTGGTTAGTGATAATCAAACTGGGATCAACTTAAACACTTCTGCTTGAGGTAGACCAAACAACACATTGCATACGAAATTGGATGCAGACATCTAAAGAAGGAATTGCAAGTGGAAATAACTAAAAAGGACAGCTAAATAAAGAGTTGCTTGGAGAATTCTGATCGGCAGTCTATGACCCACGAAAGGTAACAGATGTAAGTAACTGAGTAAAGTGCCAATCTGTGTTCTCTCAATTCCTATTGATGTTAAAAAAATATCATGATCATCAAATTAAAATTACGTGAAAATCGACTACCTTAACATTTGAATCGCCCACATATGATTGTGAATAGTAGGTACATATTCAAAATCACCCTTGAAATATTTAGGATTTACACCACCAAGTACCAATTCACCACCGATTCCTTCACCGTTTTCCCTATCAACAAATAAGGAATCTGTGTCTAATTATTGATAGTTTTTCTAATGTAATACACTGAAAGACAAGGTTAATAGAATAAACTCTAGTTAGTCGTTTGGACGCGATCTTACCTGATGTAAGAACTAATCACAGTATATGATCATGTCGTTGTGTAAATGTCTATGTGACAAATAATTTAGTAGTTCATTGTCTTTAATGCATATGCTTTATATAAAATAAAATCTACATCATTTGCGATGTAAAATACATTTACACGATGACAAAATTGAGTTAACCTGAAAAAATGTGATGTATTTCCGCCAAAGTCTTCAAACTAAGTGATAATTGTAAATAAAAGCGAGAGAAAATTAACATAGTATGGAACGAATAGGATATCGTCACATAATCATGGGCCATAAAATGATTTAAGGATTACTAGGACAAATTTAAGATTACTACAAATTGTTTCTGTACATATAAGGGAGTTTTTAATTTACGAATCGTCTTGGCTTCTATAAACTTAAGAATTTGTCCTTGACATTTTCTAAACAACGTTTTAAAAGCTGTATTGATGTCACTTTTATTTGAGAAAACAGCTCTATCTCCCAGAATTTACTTCTCATTTACCCATGTTAAAATTTCTAATTTTTCGATCAATACTCAAATAGAAAATCTCCATGTTCCTTTGAACTTTATGGTTCCCAACCAATTCCATGGTTCGCAAATCAGACACAGGTATATTTTGACTTGTGCTGGACCAGATAATGTGGTCTTTGAACGTGACAAGTGTTTTGGCGTGGTTGTTATGAATAAATGTGACTGTGGGGTAAAAATGTTATCTATACTTGATGAGTTCCTGGTGGATGTTTCATCTAATATTAGTGCTAGATTATTGACATCCAGAGTAAATTACAATCTAATGAAGCTTCTTAAACTGAATGTTATAAACAAAGTGGAATTCAATTTATTGAAGCCTACCCGTTCTGTACTCCCGAATTTATATGGATTACATAAACTTAATAATCCATTACGACCGATATTGACACTACGTTGTTCACTTACAAATATACTGGCAAAATGGTTATCAACTTGCTAAACTCGATCCGTGAACTAACTGATCTTTCCGATGGCATTAATATTAAAGAAAAAACTGTGCATTCTTTTGACATAAACACGCTTTTTACGAATGTACCTCAAACTAAGAATGTTATTTCTTTTGTGACCATGTATGGAGTAATTTCCCCCCTTTTTCCTATTTGATCAACAATTGAAACAACTAGTTTTATTATTTGTTCCGAAAGTTTAATCCACGTTTGAAGGTGAACATTTTCGGCAAGTTGATGGTGTTGTTATGTGTAGCCCGTCGGGACATCTCTTTGCTGATGTATTTATGTTATATGTTGAAAATATCATAAGTGAGCTCATTAGAGAGATAACCCCGTATATGTGATACATGAATGATGTATTAATCATATGTGATGAAGATAAACTCAATGGCGTACAGAGTAATATCGTAATGATCTATGAGGAAGAAAGTAATAATTAATTGCTCCTTTTAGATATACTCTTGAGTCGAAGGGAGGATTGAACCATAAAGCGGTAGCTTTATAGAAAGCCAACGCGAACGGGTCAAAATTTTAATTTCCACAGTTTCTGGCCTTCTCAATCCAAGCGGGGTTTGGTAAGTGCATCCTTAATAAAAATCAAGAATCTGTACTACAGATTTGTTTGAAGAAGATGCAAAATTGCAGACAGATATACTTATATCAAACGATTATCCATTCAAGTTTACAAATAAATGCAAAAGTCATTCAACAACAAAGCTTCCCTTTAATCTTGCTGCGAAGAAAGTGTTTTATATCTCTTTTTTCCTTTTAGAGGAAAATCTAACAGTGTTATCCGGAGACAGAGACTGAATTCGGTTATCGAAAAAACATTTTACGCTGCTAAACTGGTTTTGATTAAACGGACTAAGCAAATGATTTGAAATAGATCTAAACATTGCATGACAAATTACTCCGGATCCCATTGGATTTACCAATTTACACGTTTTTATGAATGCATACACTTAGGCAAGAGTAATCGACTCAGTGGTCTAGAGGTTAAACGTTCGCGCGTGAGACCGATAGGTCCTGCTTTCTAATCCCGCGAGCTGGGTCGTGAGTGAGCATTGCTGAGGAGTCCCGTACTAGGACAAAACGGATGTCCAGTGCTTCCATGTTTTCCATGGTTGTCTAGCTCTAATCGACTTATGAATTCATCTATTAGATTTCCTATTCGTTGCCTCTTACTTTTCTCTCTCTTTTATTTACAATTATCACTTAGTTTATTTGAACTTTCATTTAATTGACCATTATCAATTTTCGAATAAAATGCCTTGACAAGTCTGAAATGCTTTTGTGGAAATACATTACATTTTCTCAGATCAACTTCGTGTTTTCGTCATACCATCAAAACGGATTAAGTGATTTAAGTAAATATTAATGCTGTGCATTGCGTCAATTACAAACATCTCTAGGTTTACGAAACAATGTTTCTTTACAAAACAAATGTTTTACATACTTTCATTGCTTAACCTGCTATAATTGGTTGAAACTAAAAAATCAGAAGTAAAGGAAATACATAGAACATTAAAAACTGCAGTTCACTGTGATTTATTAACAAACACTGGGAATCTAGTTATGCATAAATCGAATCAATTATAAAACTTGCAGAAAATCTATTATGTTCGTGTGGTTTACATTTCACAAGTTTCCGAGAACTAGTGACATTGTTAGCCGTTTTAACTTTATCTACTCAATTAAGTTTCTACTATTTCAGAAGATGATCTTCTTTATAACTGAATTTCAGTGGATCACTTAACAGTTAAATATTATTTGTGTTTACCATGCCTTTTTATGTTTTGGACATCTACATTTTGAGCTAATGACAATCTATGAAAAACTAACAGAAAAATTGAACAGTACAAAAATAAGAGCTGTTTGGTATCTGAGTCGTTTGAGATATATAAGATCGATAAATACGTCACTACTTTTCTTAATTCTCTAATTCTATTTATGAACATACATAAACGTATGAGGTAAACATATAAAGTGAATTTAAATTAAGTTATTTGAGTACTGTTTTGAAAGGAAGTATTTATTCATTAACACAGTCGTCGGATACTTAAAGAATGTTTCACATGTATTTAAGATCTAAGGCACATAATGATCAATTACTAAACAATAAACTTCTGTTTCATTTCAAATTCTAGCGGCCAATACCATGAATTACTTAAGACAAGATCAATGTATGAATAAGTTGTTGGTGGTATATCTCTCTTTCTCCGAAGAAACTTCTCATAAGATCCGTTTTAAAAAGTACACTAAGTGTAGAAATAAGATGGAGATGATCAACAATATCGAGCTATCGATTCATACATACACGTCTCATGAAATTCAAATAGATCACCTTAAAAATATTAACTGTTTTGCAAGCGTCAACTTCAAATACATCCCAGAATCTGATATATATACTTTAAATATTGCTTTAGATAATAATATCATAGCATATGTATATCAAATAGGCTAGTGTGTAAAACAGATTCAATGAATAAGAAAATCAATAACATAAAAAGATGTATAAAAAAATATCACACAGTTTGTATTATAAACTCACCGATTTAAATAAAATGAAAATATTGGGTCCACATTCACACCATTAGCTAGTATATTCGGGAACATTGGAATGTTTCCATATTCCGATATCCGTCTAGTCGACATGCCAATTATTCCATCATATTTACCAGTTAAGTATTCAAAATTAAGTATACTCCTCACTTCAGCAAACGCTTGATTCCGAATCTCCAACGAGTTTATCTATAACGGTATTTTATTTCGAAACATTCGCAATTCTTACTCGTATAGTGTCCACACTCCAAAATCCAGAGAACTCACCAACCAGATATCTGACATGAAAACTAGAACCATCTGATACATAAGTCGACGATTTCGAGCTATCGTAAAATGAAAACATCCAACAAAATATATCAAGAAACCAACACTTCCTTGAAGCTAACCATGTGTCAGTGGATCCTGTATCAAACAATACTCGTAGCTTTTGAGGTGGAGTTCCCACTGATATCTCACCATAATACTGAAGCTAAATTAAAAGATTATTTCGCATTCAACATTTAGACAGTGTGATACGCAAATAATAATTATTCTTCTATACCTTAAAAATTCTTTTAATTTGAAATAACTTTGAGATAATATGCACTTCTGGTCACGATATTTTGTTATTTGTATCGGTGATTAAATTGCCGGATTTTTCAATGAATCTATGATACTTTGCCTGTTGAGAATTATATCAATGAGCAATATTCCGTTGTATCGATTTTCACAGGCATACTTCAACAGTTAAACACCATAACTTACACTTCTACGTCGCTGTGTCATCGTGGTTACTTTTGGAAAATAGTCCATTTAGTTTATTTCACACACAAGAAGAGAAGTCGTCATATTTCGTGTTGCTTATTAGATATACATTAAGTTGGATTTCATACTATGAACATGATTGATACACTTACGTTTTCATAATTAATCAATTGTTCCGGTGTAGATGTATTGTGCTTATTCCATTCATACTTCCATTTTCTCGTCGAAGGCTTAAAGTAAGTCGCACCAAGTCCCACCAATGAATCAGATCTTTTCAAAGGGTGGAGAGGAATTCTCACAATCTCGCCATATAAATATGGTAGGAAACCGATAATTATGAATAGAATCATTGAAATCGGTTTGAGTACGCTGAAACGTAGTGATGTTTATGTCACTTTTATTTTGTTTTCATCATGTTTTATTGACAAAGATGTATCAAATTAACTAGAAGATTGACTATAAACAAACCTGATTACTAATGGTAATTCGATACTTGTTTAATGTGCGTCACTATCACCAAGAAAATGGTTTGAATTACTAAGGAAACACACTTTTAATCTGTGAATCATTGTATGATGGGAACAGCTTCTATTGTGTATCAAAATTACGATAATGTATCGGTGTGATCTCCAACTCAAACTGTACGAGTATTGTTCGATACAGGATCCACTGACACATGGTTAGCTTCAAGGAAGTGTTGGTTTCTTGATATATTTTGTTGGATGTTTTCATTTTACGACAGCTCAAAATCATCCACTTACAGACCAAACGGTTCCATTTATAATGTCCATTATTTAGACAGTGTGTACTCTGGATTTTGGAGTGTGGACACTATACGAGTAAGAATTGCGAATGTTTCGAAATAAAATACCGTTATAGATAAACTCGTTGGAGATTCGGAATCAAGCGTTTGCTGAAGTGAGGAGTATATTTAATCTCGATTACTTATCTGATAAATATGATGGAATAATTGGCATGTCGAGTAGACGGATGTTGAAATATGGGAATATCCCAGTATTCCCAAATATACTTCAGAATTTCCCGAATATGGATCTAGTGTTTACGTAGTTTCGTTTGTTCATAGACTGAGTAAATTGGGAAAATTTGTCACTTAGCCAAATTGCTACGACCCGGTAAGCGTATGTCCACACTCATCTCTTGTCTCTCATCCTTCCTATATCCGTACACTCAGTCATCCATTGAGTTTCATAATTCCTACGATGCAGACATATTAGTCTAGGTTGACTAGATAGTTATGCACACTTTCGGACGACTTTAGCAACAGATAAAACAAACAACAACTTCGGATATTAATTTTGTTTTCTTCAAATATTTTCAAATATATTCAGGCATTCTCCATATCTTCATTATTTACAAACATACCCACAGAATAATTCAATCATACGTTCATTCAAACGATTTAAGTATGGGATATTGGAGTCAAACGACCGCATAATTGAAAAGATGCTAACGATGAATTGCTTTACTAGAACTCAGATCCCTGAGGAAATTTATAGTGTCTACACTGCATAATACATTGAAATCACTGTCCAGATGACTGACATGAAAATTTCAACCATGTGCTACATAAGTCGACGATTTCGAGCTATCGTAAAACGATAACATCCAACAAAATATATCAAGAAACCAACACTTCCTTGAAGCTAACCATGTGTCAGTGGATCCTGTATCAAACAATACTCGTAACTTTTGAGGTGGAGTTCCCACTGATATCTCACCATAATACTAAATCTTAACATAAGGATAATTGAAGCACGAACATCAGATAGTGTGACATAGTGTCAGAGCAATCGATTTGTTTTTGTTATCTAACGCTAGATATGAAGTTATTCCTCCGTTACGAATCATAGTTGATCGGAATATGTTTTTATTTCCATAACTGATTTTAATATCTACAAACTTCACCAGTGTTTGGCAGAATTTCAGTTGGTGGGAAGCGAGTAACATATATTCTGTCCTACTCATATCTCTTAACAGATATTATCAATTCAATCATCACTCCTTCTACTACACAATCACTGTGTCATAGTTACATCTGTGGGAAACATCCACTTAGTCTATTTCATGCACATATTAACGAGTGGCATCTACTTATTATGAGATCAACGCACATTACTTGAAGGAAAGAAAGTTTGAGACTAACAATCTGACTGTAACACGTACGTTTCCAAAAAATAACGAGTTGTTTCGATTTTGTTATTCTTTATGCTTCCACTCATCCCCTCGATTTCTCATCGAAGACATAAAATAACTTTTGTGAACTCCAAATCGTGAAGCGCGTCTTTACATCTAGTAGAGAGGGACTTTCACAATTTCACTATGTAAATGCGGTCGAAACGTGAGAATTATGAGTAGAGTAACTAAATTCCCAACTCCGCCTGTAGCTCTTATAGGGTTGCTGCCGGTCCCAAGCCCGGGTAAAGGAGGAGGGTTGGGCATGGGGTTAGCGTCCCCATCCCGTAGAAAACTAACTCGCTAAAAAAACGTTTACCAGAAAAAATAATCCAAACCATTTTAACTCTGCCCTGGGAGTTAGAAGGTCTTCATTTAGAAGAATTATGACGCTTCATGGTGAAAGCCGAGTTCCTTCGGAAGCCACGAGGCCGATGCCCCTTCTAACAACCAGAGCAAAAAATTCTATAGGTACATGGAACGTTCGAACAACGTGGGAAACCGGGAAGACCAGTCAAATATCAATGGCAATGAGGAGATACAACTTAGCAGTACTGGGAATCAGCGAAACCCACTGGACCCAAGCTGGACAGAAAAAGCTAGCTACGGGAGAGATGCTGCTATACTCCGGTCACGAAGAGGACAATGCTCCACACACTCAGAGAGTCGCTCTTATGCTGTCCAAAGTAGCACGAAATGCACTTGTAGGATGGGAATCTCACGGATCCAGAATCATCAAAGCATCATTCAAAACAAAGAAGGAGGGGATCTTAATGAATATTATCCAATGTTATGCACCCACCAATGATAGCAACGACGACATTAAAGATCAATTCTACGAGCGGCTGCAGTCAATCATTGAGAAATGCCCAAGAAAGGACCTCACCATTCTAATGGGAGATCTAAATGCCAAAGTCGGAATAGACAACACTGGATATGAAGATATTATGGGACGACATGGACTGGGAAAAAGAAATGAAAATGGAGAAAGATTTGCAAATCTATGTGCACTCAACAAATTGGTCATAGGAGGCACAATATTTCCACACAAGCGTATACACAAGGCTACATGGATCTCACCGAACCACACTACAGAGAACCAAATAGATCATACTTGCATCAACAAAAAATTCCGAAGGACAATGGAAGATGTGAGAACCAGGAGATGTGCTGACGTAGCTTCAGATCACCACCTAGTTGTAGCCAATTTAAAACTGAAGCTAAAAAAGAACTGGACAGGTGGACAAACTGCACTACAAAGATTCAATACAGCCTTCCTTCGAGATACTGTCAAACTCAATGAATTCAAGATAGCTCTCAACAACAGGTTCCAAGCCTTACAAGATCTACTGAAAGAAGAAGAAACTACTATGGAGGACAACTGGAAAGGCATCAAGGAAGCATTAACTTCAACGTGTCAAGAGGTTCTCGGTCTAAAGAAATACCATCATAAGGAATGGATCTCTACAGAAACACTGGACAAGATCAAAGAAAGGAAGAACAAGAAGGCAGCAATAAACAACAGCCGAACACGAGCAGAGAAATTCCAAGCACAAGCTGAATACATAGAAGCAAACAAACAAGTGAAGAGGAGCATTAGAGCCGACAAGAAGAAATACGTTGAAGAACTAGCAACGACGGCGGAAAAAGCTGTTAGAGAAGGAAATATGAAACAGCTTCACGATACAACGAAGAAACTAGCAGGGAAATACAGTAAACCAGAGAGGCCGGTCAAAGACAAAGAAGGCAGGAAAATCACCGAAATTCAACAACAGCGGAACAGATGGGTAGAATACTTCGAGGAACTTCTGAATAGGCCGGCTCCAATGAATCCACCGGACATCGAAGCAGCACACATAGATCTCCCTATAGATGTCAATCCACCAACTACGGAAGAAATTAGAATGGCCGTCAGACAAATCAAGAACGGGAAAGCAGCAGGACCCGACAACATACCAGCTGAAGCACTGAAATCAGACATCGAAGCAACCACAAGCATGCTTTATCTTCTATTCAAAAAGATTTGGGAGGAGGAACAAGTGCCAATGGACTGGAAAGAAGGACACCTCGTCAAGATTCCAAAGAAAGGAGATCTGAGCAAATGTGAAAACTACAGAGGCATAACACTACTGTCAATACCAGGGAAAGTCTTCAACAGAGTGTTGCCGAACCGGATGAAGGATGCAGTAGACGTCCAACTTCGAGATCAACAAGCTGGATTCCGTAAGGATCGGTCGTGCACAGACCAAATTGAAACACTACGGATCATCGTCGAACAATCAGTTGAGTGGAACTCATCACTATACATCAACTTCATTGATTATGAAAAGGCGTTCGACAGTGTAGATAGGAGGACGTTATGGAAACTTCTTCGACACTACGGAGTTCCTGAGAAGATTGTCAATATTATCCGGAACTCATACGACGGACTACAGTGCAAAGTAGTGCATGGAGGACAACTGACAGATGCATTCCAAGTAAGGACCGGAGTCAGACAAGGCTGTTTACTCTCTCCCTTGCTCTTTCTTCTGGTGGTCGACTGGATTATGAAGACCTCAACATCTGAAGGAAAACACGGAATACAATGGACAGCTCAGAATCAATTAGACGATTTGGACTTCGCAGATGACCTAGCCCTCCTATCACGTACACACGAACAGATGCAGATGAAGACAGCCAGTGTAGCAGCAGTCTCTGCATCAGTAGGCCTCAGCATACACAAAGGGAAAACTAAGGTCCTCAAATTCAAAGCGGAGAACAGCAATCCAATCACACTTGATGGCGAAACTCTGGAAGATGTAGAGTCCTTCACATACCTGGGAAGCATCATCGATGAACAAGGAGGATCCGATGCAGACGTAAAGGCGAGGATCGGCAAAGCAAGGGTCTCATTCCTACAATTGAAGAACATATGGAACTCAAAACAACTTTCAACCAATATCAAAGTGAGAATCTTCAATATGAACGTCAAGGCAGTTCTACTGTATGGAGCTGAAACTTGGAGAACTACAACAACCACAATCAAGAAAGTACAAGTATTTATAAATAGCTGTCTTCGCAAGATACTCAACATCCATTGGCCGGATACCATCAGCAACAGCCTTCTGTGGGAGAGAACAAACCAACTTCCAGCTGAAGAAGAAATTAGGAAAAGACG